TCATTTGCATACCTAGAATTCTCTTTGCTGAAAAGAATTTGATTAAATTCTTAACAGAAATGGAGTTTGACTCCTGAGCTGCACATGTAGTAAAATGAGATGATCAAACTCTAAGATGGTAGAATGAATGGAGGTACTTCAGTTGGGAGATAAAGTCCCTATTCCCCCCCCCCTTCTACTTAAAGATTCCTTTAGGTAGGAATATTTTTGGAAACTTTGGTACTTATGCTGCCAAAGGGGTGGGGTGGGGGAGGAAAAGAAAAAAGAATAAGGGATAAATGGGAGACCCCAACATCCTGATTATATAACTGGGGGAAGGTGACCTGGCAGAAAAGAAGGGGCTGAACATCTTTCATGCAGCAAGAAGGGATCTGTTTCAGACACAGACAGTGTTCCCAGGGACTTCTATCTGGAGGTTAGATGGGTTGGAAAGAACAAAATGGAGGTGGGGCAAGAGACCTAGCAAAAGTTGTGAGGAGGAAGATTACAAACAATCTGTGCTGAACCTCAGTGAATGGGTGGTGGCTCATCCTGATCTTTCGCTTTGTTTGCCTGCATAGTATCGGCCAGATGGGGTGCATTTGTCAGGTTGGGAGCAAGACATGATATATGTGGGGCCCTGTGGGATTCATTGCAGCTGGTCTTCTGTCAGTGTTCTGTTATCCCTGTGAACAGACTACTTAAACTCCCAGCAAAGTTGACTGGATTTAACCTACCAAAGTTTGTATTGGGTCACATGTATTCTAGCCCTTTGCTGTAATGACTAGTTACTTAATTCCTGAGTCTTGCAGAAGCTTGAGAAGGTAAAACGTTTCCATTGTGCTGCTGGTATTACTTGAATAATCATTTAAAGAAAGAGTTCAGTCTATTCATTATGTGGAATGCTTCAGTGCTATTATACTTTATTTCTGTTTAGCCTTTTAAGCAAACAAACATCCCTACACAAAAATATTGAGCTGTGACAGATGCGCTTTGGAAATAACACAGATGTGCAGTGTCAGATTTCACGATTCCACACAGCTCCTTTGTGGGTAAATTTAACTATTCGTGGTGGGCATGTGCTTTCAGGAAGTCTTAACTTCTTGTAAAACAGAAAAAAAACACGCTTTAAATACAAAGGGCCTTGTCCACTGAGAATTTGAAAAGAAAATGATCTTAACGGAGTGAATGTTCAACCCTGTTAGACAGCAAATCTATGGGTTATTTTAAGCTAATTACTCAGAATTAAACAAAGGCTCAAGGCTTTTTGCCTGAACTGGAGCAGAGGCCAAATCAAATTGAAGCTGAGACATTGTTTTTGCTGAAAATTCAACTTAGAACAGATCACAGTTGGCAGAGTTGGAACAATGCCTGTGGTGCCAAAGTTATATTAAACAACAGTGATGTGCTTGACTTTCCCAAACACTTGCTGTTGAAATTGTTGCTGAGAGGAAACACAGATGCAGGAAAAAAAAACTACTTACAATCTGATTCCGTGCTCAGACCATTCTGAGATGGAAGACATATATTTGCTCACTGTCATGGATGTCATCTGGATATTTAATTGACCTATAGAACCACAGATCAAGAAAAGGTCTAAACAAAACACATTGTCGAAAATTAATGTGAGCAGACTCTACTAGCGTGTGTTATGGCAATGGGCAGGGGAGACAGAGAGAATTAAATAAATCCTAAGTTTCAAAACAGATGTTTGGTACAATGATTATAACAATTTCAAGTCATACGTCTACACACAAACACCCAAAGAGTTGTAAAACCTGAAGATCTACATCTGTATATAGTATATAGTTTTGCTTGCCTACTCTTCAGTTACATAGCTGATACTTTGGAATGTGAAGAGTAAGATGGAAGAAAGTAGATTGCTCCGTTTTTATCTGTACACACTACAGAATTAAGAATAAAGGAAGCTTTATAGCAGTTCCTCATGCTACACAGGAGTAACATGAAAAACAGTTGGACTATATAGTTGTCTAGCTGCAGTATCTGTCTTCATTGCTAGATTTTTTTAAAAAAATGAGTTAAATTACAGTGGTGCCTCACTTTACGATTGCCCCGTTTAATGACGAAACTGCATTACGATGAACTTTTTGCGATCACAAAACTATGTTTCCTATGGGGGAATTTCGCTTTGCAATAATGGTTCCCTGTTTTGGGAACCGATTCTCCGCAAAAAGATGATTTTCCAACAGCTGATCGGCGGTTTCAAAATGGCCACTGGGTAAACAAAATTCCCCCCTCGCTGTTTTCTGGGACGGATTCCTCGCTGCACAGGCAGCGCCTTTTACATCATACACCCATTTATATATTCCAGCTCCTCCCCCTTCTGCACCACCTTCCGTCCCCTCATTGGCTGATGTTCCACTCCCCAGCTGTGATGGACAGGTGAGGGCAGGGCTGAATGCTACACTATATAGTTGTCTAGCCGCAGTATCTGTCTTCATTGCTAGATCTTTTTTAAAAAATGAGTTGAATTACAGTGGTGCCTCACTTTACAATTGCCCCGTTTAATGATGAAACCGCATTACGATGAACTTTTTGCGATCACAAAATGATGTTTCCTATGGGGGAATTTCGCTTTGCAAAAAATGCTGACAAATACCTGATGAAGACTGGTTTGTCTTAAGTTATCAGAAGCCAGTGGTTCTCTATTGTCCTTCTATTAATGCTGTGTCTTCACAGTTCTTATTCCATTCTTGAAAACAGGGCATAACTACTTGCAAAACTAGTAAAATTATTCACAACACATTATACCTCTGTGCAAGAAGGTTTGCTCAACAGACCCGGGCTATGCAGAAAAGGTTCTTCCATTCGTAGTGCAGAAACATTAGGAGAATTTTGACCATTTTGTTATTCAGTTTGATGGAAATGGAATTGATTTTGAAAGGAATTTGAAAGGGGGAGAAATTTCAAAGAAATTCTCACAGATGAGGTTGAGGATCCTTGTGCTCACCTTACTTCTTAGGTGAATGATGTGCATCTTGTCCTTCAAGGTACAGTTGTGAGGTCAGAAAGTCTGATGCCTGAACAGTTTCCTGAGGGCCGTATAGATCTTTATAGACCTCTAGGAAAAATCAGAAGCCCATGGTTGAACAACTGACATTCATCCCATTTTGGGTTAATTCCAGAATGAAACCAGATAACTATTTACAACCATATGGAAGTTTATCTGGGTATCAAGGTAAAAGTTGCTTCATTGTTGCAATGATTCGAAGCAGCATTAGCTTGTCTGTTGCTACAAACTCTTTTTTCTATGCATAAAAATCATAGTTAATACAGATTATGTAACCATAGTCTTACAGCTGTGAAAAACTATAGGCACAAATGCTTAAACAGACATCCATTCTTGCAAGTTGTAAAAAGCTGCAAGTGTGACTGCTATCCAAAAGACTTACAACTATGAGAGGTTGCAAATAAGAAATAATTCAAAAGCAAAGCTTACTGTAAGTTGTAAGCAGAACTTGAATCAAATCACAGTCCAAAAATAAAGAGACATATAGCCTCTAAAGGCACAGTCAAAAGGTAGAGAATATATTTCTGAAAATATAAAATTTCTTAAAAGTAAAAATATATGAAAGATAAAACACATTTCTTGGCCTTTCAGCGTATTACTAGGCACATATGAAAATTATTCTAAGTGCTCACCCAACCGAGTCAGTTTGAACCTATGGAGAAAAATCCAAGTTGTCCTAATATGTTCTGAAGTTCTGTGTTGCTGCTCTCGGATGTTTGGTGCCCAGTATTAGCATTGTTTGTATCCAGTGCATGTGCCATGGCAGGTGTATGTCTCTTGCCTCCCTATGTATATTTATATTTTTTGTAGATGTTTACATTTTCCTTCAACTAAAAAGAACTGAATTTTGCCAGTGTGGCAAATTACAGATCTTTAAAAATGGTCAGAAAATTTTGAATGGAAATCTGCTTTTACTAAGACAGCAGACTCATAGTTAAGCAAATCCTTTTTCTATATTTTGACTTGGCCTCTTACACCTGAAAGTATAGCTAACTGATCACATAATAATTTACTTGGTTAGCAAAATGCAGTTAGTGTAAAGGGCTGGTGAACCGATTTGGTGAGGTACCAATTTGCTCTATCTGCATTTTGAGACTCCCAGTCTTGTTAATTCCAGCTTGCTATGGCTCTCCGTGGTTTCAGGGCGGTTCAATTTCTAGTCCTACCTGGAGACCCCTAGGTATTACCTAGTGGTCTTCCATCCCATATAAGATGCAGTTTGAACCTGGAGTAGACTGATACGCTTTGCAGTGATTTCTACAACCATAGAGATGCCAGAATGTGCGGTGGATAGCAAAAATCACTATCAAAGTGTTTGCGTAGCATTTGTTGACATGGTGGTTTCAAATCTGGCATGTATATATCGAGGAAAAATAGCAAACCTTGTTGTGTGGAGTGGATTTCCATCTCTTGATGCTAACCTTAAGGGATTAGCTTAGATCACTAAATTTAATTTCTACACCAACATGAGCAGATGCTACTGAAACCTCACTGTGGGTTTGTATCAATGCATTTTACACACTAACACATTATTTTACAAGAAATCACTCACAGTACCCTGAATATGTCATCAAACAGACAGGAGATTCCCCATTCTTTTCACTGTGTGCAGTTCTTTGAGTTCTCTAAGCAATGAAGGGGAAGCTCTTGTGTCAAGAGTCTATGTGTGACTTGGTCTATGCCATTCCACACAGTGTGACCAACTTACGGCTTTCCAGATATGGTTGCTGCATAATTCAGCCTTTGCCATGGACGTTGTCCCCTAGAGCTGCAGGGAGGCACAAAGCCAACAATATCTGGAAGGCTAGAAATTGCTCTTCTTTGCTTAACACCCATAGGGACACACTTGTTGCAACTGTCTTCTTTTTGAATCCCAGGCTGTCAGTCTTTGTATCCACGTACCCTGTCTACTTAGACTTACTTTTGACTTGAAAACTGGCATAATGTTTCTGTTACCTTTGTAGTAAAATTTTTCCTCTGTCCTCTACAGGTAAAAAGCCATACCTTTGCCATTTTTCTGAAGAAGACACACCTGCAGCAGCCCTGAAGTCCAGTCACAGAAGCAACAATATAATCGAAAAGACTGCTGGTGAATCCAAGCCAGAGATGCCAGCAGCAATATCTACATCTGGAAACAAGATCAAAGGCCCCTTTCCAAAATATATGGATTACAAAATTGCCCCAGATTTAAAGAGGCCGACATTTCAACAAAGCTGCGATTTTCCTTGCTCCAGCAGGACTGTTGACTTTGCTTCTAGTATGGGCCAGACATGCTCAGATATGAGGCTGGATTTGCCAACCTCATGGGATATTCAGGTCAAGTACACTGAAAAGAATTCCGATACATATGACCACTCTATGATTCATAAATGTACAGATGTACAGGAGAAGGGTCCATTGGATCTGAGTGAGAAATCATCAAGGGCTGATTCATGCAATACTAATTTTACCTCAACCATGCAGGCTGGTTTGGTTGTCCACCTGTGTCCTTACTGCAGTCATAAGACCTATTATCCAGAAGTTCTGTGGATGCACAAAAGAATTTGGCATAAGGTCAGTTGCAATTCTGTGGCTCCTCCATGGGTTCTTCAAAACGGATTCAAGAGTATAAAACACAACTCAGTTTTTATGGCAAGAAGTGGACGTACTGGACCACCTCCTGCTCTTGGTGGTAAAGAATGCCAGCCTCTGCCTATAGCCAGATTTACACGTACTCAGGTGCCGAGCGGATTGTCAGGATCCAAGAGCAACCCTTCAGGTCTTGTTGTAACTGCTAAGCCTGGGACTGTACCTAAAGATGCACTATCCACTAGTAACTTTGGCCCACGATCATCAGGTACTGATGGCTACAGACAGCCCAAACTCAATCAAGCCCATGAAAAATACAGCACGGTAATGCAACAGCCCCCGTTGAAAGCAAAATACGACATAAATCCTAAGTTGACACAAGCAGGAAGCTTTACTAGAAATTCAACACCTTCCCAGGCAGTTATATCTAAGCCCAGTTCCCAGCCTTCCAACAGTAAGCAAACAGAGAAGTATATAGTTCCTCAGATGAGTGCTGGATTTGCCCCTTTAAGCACGCATAGTGCCCCGGAACAAGGGAAAGCCAGTTTTTTCACTCCACCTCAGTACCACCCTTCCTGTAAAACTGAGCCATATGTTACTCAAGAAGATCCACCAGTACTTCATCAGGAACCAAATACCAAGAAAGAAAATGACATGAGAGCACTGTCAAATTGTACAGCTGGTTCCAGAGTGAGTCCTTTGACTCACACTCAGCCCAGTGCGTCAGGGCCACCTGCAGTCATACCTCCCTCCAAAGAGGAGCCATCATCTGAGAGCCACGAGAAACATTTGGACATTTTAAACATCTTTAAGACCTCAATTCCAAAGGAACTTGCTACTCTTTACCAATCATGGGGTGCTAATGGCCCTGGAGTGGACCAAGCTGGTAAGAATCCTAAGGACTGCCTCTTTAGTGTATTTTTAAATTAATATATTTAGCTATACTGTACTACCTTTCCTATTTAACTGTTCCATATTACACCAAGTCAGCTGGGTTGCTGTCCTGGCTTCATTGAGGCATACTTCTATGTGAACACATGTAGAATTGTACTGTTCAGGCTATATCCACAGTGCTGAATCAGGTTCATGTTCTTTCCAGTTTTCATTTTGTATATGGTAAACAGATCTGGAAGAGGATATAATGCTTGGAAAAAATATTGTGAAAGTGGCACCTTCATATAGGCTTACAAGCAAACAAAAGCAGTAAAAGTTTTCTTGTTCCCAGTATAAGAGGAAAAAGTTTGATTAATTTGTGAAGAAAAAATAAATGGAAGTAATTTTGGGGTAGGGTTTATGTAATGGGATGGTAGGGTTGATCGTAAAACATTGGAAGCAAGGGATGTCCTAAGGTACAGCAAGTGCATGGGTGGTTCTTCCGATGGGCCAGTCCCAAAAGAATCTTCAGGTTAGGCTAGCTTTGAATTTTCTTGGCTTTTCCCTAGAGTGGTCTGGTAGTCCAGATAGGCGGGG